CTTTCTGCAGAGTTGTAAGATGTTAAGATAATCTTTTAATAATTCAAATATATTGATTAAGTCAAGTAGAGTAGGGTAGAATACTTTTAATAGGAGGTCACCTATGTAAGTGTGAAGTGGGGCCGCTTCAATGAGAATTATTCAAGGCTTGAATTCTTTAAACACTTGTAGAACCAAGACGGGTTCAGGGCCAAAATGAACCAAGTCATGAGAACCATGAACGGTTTAGAAAAGACATCTGTGTGAGTATCGTTGTCTTGGCTTACACTAAAAGTTGAATGGTTCAAAACATCACGTTCACCAATTAGTCGAGTAAATCCGATGGTAATTCACTAAGGGAGGTTCAAGGCCAGAAGCTATCTTCCCTGATGTAGTATTTTTTCGTACCCTCTCTACATTGTATCATATCATCGCATTTGCATATGCGTACCCAATTTTCATTCATGTGAGGGATTGTAGGAATTGGTTCAAATAATTAGTCAAAAATTGGAAAATGAAAAGGTGTGTAAAAGTGGAAAATGAAAAGGTGTGACTACGTGTCAACTTCAATCAAATATTCCGACTTGATCCGATAGTCAAATTACAAAAGTCATGGTATATTTGGAATCTCGAAACCAATTCCGGATGAGTGAAAAATTGCGAACTAATGTTGGAAGAAATGAAGTGCTGTAACTTTTCGAAATTATGCAGGTTTTGGCCAAGCGTTGCAACTTTTTGAAAGAATGCATGTTTTGGCTCATACTACTTCATTTGCACCCTTTCTACATCTATAAATAGAATTCTATGGACATGATTTTTGGTACACCAATTACATTGAGCATTCATTTCCTCTTGTGATTCTCTCCTTTCTAATTTCATAGCATTTTCATGCATTTCCTAGGTAGAGAGGGAATTCCGTTCGAGTTCGTTGGTCGAAGTCATTTGGAGTGCTCCTATGGCTTGACGTGGCCGTTGTATCTTGGGAGATGATCTTCGAAAAACCGTTAGCACCGATGCGGGGCAAATTCATCTTAAGGACCAAGTCTCAAACACTTGTCTCGACCAAAAATTCATTACTTGCATCTTTCTTCCTACAATTTTCTTATTTCTTTTTATTATATTTTGATTTCGGGAAATGATTAACATTGTTTACATGTTTATGTTGCAAGGTTCGATTAAAAGAATAATTTGCTTTCGTTCAAGAATCGAAAGGAATGAATCCATATCCATACATTCAGATTCGGTAACTTTTATATTTTACTTCTCAAATCCTATTTCGGTAAGTTGAAATTACGTTTCGATTTCACGCAAATAACCGGTATACTTTTGTGAATATAATATGCACGTAAGCGGTGTGAATTTTCCCAACAAGAATTAGTACGTGTTCTAACCAAAATGAAAATATCTAAACTTTTAATCTGATAGATAAATCAACATCTGATTATAAATTCATATAATCACTCCATACCAAATACATTGTCAAGGGCTCATTTGAGCATAGTTGTGGCTAACGAGCCCATCGGCTCGAGTGGCCTCTAGCTTGATTTGGAAAAAGTCCGAGCTCCTAACTCGAACTGGGGGCAAGCCTCAAAAATGAGAATTGGTTCAAGCTTGAGCCAGCTTGCGAGTCCAAATACGAACCAATCGTATGTGGACTCGTGTGGTCTGCTTTTTATGCTTTTAGATCACTTACCTAATCAATTTTTTTAGTTTATAAATTAATAACCACTTAGTTTGTAAATTTCAACAACTTGCATGGTTAATTTTGTAGTTTGTAAATTAACGATCAATTTTTCATAAATTCGAGAAATAAAAATCAAAAAGTCCTTGGGCCGACCGAAGACAAAGCTTGGGCAACCTCATTTTTTTTAGGACGAGCCGAGTCCAAAAAGCTTGAGCCTTTTTCTACAAGTTGATATCAAGCCCCAAGGTTGGGTTCGCGAACCAACTGGACTTGACTAGTTGTCATCATCATTCGATCATGCAAGAATCACACACTAATTTTTCACCAGAATCACACACTAACTTTTCACCATGCTATCGAACATTCAAAAATTTCAAACTTCGAATGTTAGTCTTTTCCAACCTACCAAACTTATCATCAATGTCGTACCACTTTCATCAAGTGGATCATACATTTGTTCAAACTGCATTGACAACTTTCATTAAGGCATGCTGAGTGTACGGAGTGAGTGAAAAAAAAAAATTAATAATAAAATAACACCCAACAATGTATGAAGTGGGATGTCCACCATTTAGAGAGTCCAAATATGAAGGAAAAGTTAGTTAAATATTAATCCTGTATAAAGAAAGTACATCCATACAAGTCTAATTATTAATCATGACTGCATTTTCAAGAACGAAAACTGTCTCAAAAGTTACTCCAATCCACTGTCTTGAGGTTTGGTTCATGAAATCAATTTACAGCTAAATGCAGGCATACATTAAATTCCCCGCAGCTTCATTTAAGTAGATTTTCCAAATCCGTGATAAAAAAAAACTATCTGCATTACTCATTCTGTGAAAACGGAAGCTGAGATGGAGAAATAGAAGCTTCGTCTTTTAGCAAAAAGAATGCTTATCCAGGACAAATAACTGAGACAGAACAACTTCATTGAGATGGAACTCGACCAAAAGCTTCAATCTCTGACAGAAAGCAAAGCAAGCAATTAAGGAAACACATTCAGGGACATACAAAACCATTTTTCTTTTGGAGTATCAAACAAAACCAGTGATTTTATTACACTTGCATGCACACCAGGAGCATAGATGAAGAGGGGGCGAGAGAGAGAGGGAGAATCACCTGAAAATATGGCGCAATTGTTCAGAGATGTTTTGCTCTCCAATCAACCGTTAAAACATCATCATTGTCGTCATCACTTGATGATTCTTCAGGGCTAGACTCCTCCTGTGCAACTTCAGTACCTTTACCATAAATGACAGATCTAGCAGCCTTAATCTCCAACTTCTTCTTCCTTAGCATTTCTACTCTCTCCCTATAAGTCCTGAAGACATCAAAACCAAAGGTGATAATATTATTTGTGATCCCAAGCTGGTTTAGATACAGTGATATCCCAGCAAAGTATCCTTTCCCCAACATTTTTAACTTACTTTTGTTCCACAGTCTCAGCTTCTTCAATCGTCTCAGCTGCATCAAACTGCAAAAAGCAGCAGCAATAATGTCAGTGATACAATTCCTTACTGTACAACCCTGGATTTATTAAATGGAAGTTGGGAAAGAAAGTCTGGCCTCTTCTTCTTCCAAGCGGTTGTCTATCTCTTGTAAATCATCTTGGATTAACTTTTCAAACTCCTTATATTCATCCCTATGTGCACGTCACAAGTCAGCTTTATCAGTTGAAACAAATAAAAGAATGCAAGTAGTTAAGGAGTGTAGAATGTAATCATGAATTAGGAGAAAGAACAGTGTTTCACGGTAAAAAAATTTTATTGCGAACCATAAATGAGCGTAAAACGTTTTCACTTAGAATTTTAGACAAAGCTAAACCACCATTCATCTGCATTATAAACATCCAACCCTTTCGAAAATTTAATTAAAAAAAAAAATAAAAAATGATAAAACCATAACTACAAATCTTATCATAAGTGAAACATCATTATTCCCTCTGTGATAAGATCTATGTGCTCAATCTACCACTTATTCTTTAAGGAAATCAAATTTCTTTACAAAAGATTTGATCAATTACTACCACCGAATCCATGAAAATCTACATACTTTATCCTCCCAAAACTGATTGTTATTTGTGCACAAATTAAATGTTAAAATGTGTCATCAGAAGTAAATTATTTTCACACTTCAATAAAACTGTACATGTGATTCTGACCTGGACATGTGGTTCTACTGAGTGATATCACAATAGTTTCTAGTTATCTACCAATCTACACTAAAAGATAATAATGCATCAGCATCAAATTATCTCCATTATTTCCCATCTCACAATCTATGACATCCTCAATGCACATTGAACAACTACCCTCACTACATTTGATGTGAACACTCACTTTTTGGGCAATAAAACTGCCCATTTTAGCACAAGTGGCACATTGCCACATTTAAACCTATCTATCATCACAATCAATCCAAACAACACCATTGAAGTATTCAACATTCCTAGCATCCAAAATGAGAAGTCTTCAAATATCAGAAAGTAATCCCACTTTTCTTGTGCTCATAAAATTGGACAACATGGCCCTCCAAAAACCATAAGTTGACGCTAACTTTATAGTTTATGGCGTCCTCCAGATGATATTGAGCTAGAAAGAGTGAAAGTAATTCACTTTTGTGCACAAGGCTCGAAGCCAAGGAAGTACACTGGCAAAGAAGAGAACAGAGAAGAATTAAGATGCTAGTAAGAAATTATGGGACATTTCCAATGACAAAACATTGGAATACAAGAAAAGTCCCAATGTTCCTTCTGTAGCAGATAAGGTTAAAGCTAGAGATAACAAGTTTGTAGGGCCAGGATGTTAAAAATAGGATAAAATTTAATACCAACTGAAGACTTACAATCAACTTCTCAAACAACATTCCAACAGCAGCTCAGGGATCATTACATTCCTTTTAATGAGGTTACAAAATCATCACCCACAAATTAACATGAGAATATCAAAAAGCATAAAAATATAAGGAACTTACTTGACATCCGGTTTCATAGGTGTAATGCCTCGTGCACGTAAATCAGCATCTTTGTCATCAAAAAACCCTTCAGGAAGAGCTCCTTTGACTTGCGTAGTTTCATTATTAACAACTACTTCTGACACCTGTCTGATTTCCTTGGAAGCCTGAATTTCAGAATCTCTAATCTCCACGGATTTAGCAGTAGATGATCCATCAGTTTCACTCCCTAAGACAAATGAATGCAGGATAAGAAAATGCTTAGTATCTGAATTACAACTGTAGATCATCCAAATTGAAAGTCATAGCAGTAGCAGTTTAAGAACATTAAAAAACATGAGTACTTATCAAAAACAATTTACTCGTAAGAACCATAAGAAGCCAAATTCATTTCCGTTGTGCGGGTACTCGATCATAACGAGAGTGTCACACAATAAAGCTTTTTAGTATTTTACGATCAAAACTCGACTTTTGGTAAGACTTCATTTTTAGAACTAAAAGTTGTTCCCCGGACTCCTTCACTTTTTCTTAGATTGAGTGGGCGAAAAGATGCTAAGCACAAATACAATAAATAACGCATTCCAGGTATTCTATCCTAATAAATACACATTGGTGACTATAACACAATATCATAGTTAAGAGACTCACCATGACCTTACCATCAACCAGGTCAAGGCACTGGTTCACCAGACACTGGCTGGAACAGTGGGTCAATGGTTCAAGTGACAGGTAAATATTATTAAAGTGATTTATAATTATTCAATAAATACTTGATAGTATATTAGCTAAATTTTCTTATTTATTAAGCTTCATGTTTACAATAACATAAAAGATCACAAATTTTTGAAATATATAATCTACTGCTTAATGTACTATATCACGATGTCCACTACTTATCTTTAATTTCGTCCCCTTATCTTATTACATCTATGTTATTTATCAAAATCAATTCATCAAGATTATGTGTACCACCCATTTCCTTTCCACGATACAAGATCTATCAAAATAAGTTATAGAAATAGTAAGTGGATGTTTGGTCGGGATTAAAATTAAATTTTACAGTAGATTGTGATAGAAATTTTTGAATGTGTGGTTGAAAAGTTGTGGGACCCATAAAAGATATGGTTAATATTGATTGTTTGACTTTGAATTAAATTAAAATTATATTTTAATTCAAACCAAACATGCTCTAAATATAGCATGAATTATGTCGTATTTGAGTCTCCAAGTATTTCAGTGTAGCTCCCTTAAAATATTAATTTTGTGTCATCTGTTTAAACTAGATAATATTTATAATTGATTATTAAAAAGATAATAAAAATAGCTTATTTTCTTTCATTATAATTTTGTTTTATAATATGATTAATAAATGAGCTACTATATATAGTTAAGTAGCATTTACAGGTAAAAAACCAATGTGGCTCAATGGCTAGGAGTTGCCTTTTCACTCCAAAGGTCTGGTGACAAACCTTTATTTTTATTTTTTTTAAGGATTATGGATAAACCAGCTGGCCGACATGCGTGTTTACTTGGAGCCCCGCAGGTTTTTGTAGTTTGGTTGCAATACAGTCAAACAATTCAATCAAACAGTATTGCTTTCTGGTTCACCAAGATTCCATGCCGACAACCAGGTAGGGCCATTTTTACAACACATTATTTTTGATTTATCAGAAATTCCATAACTGAATCACCATACATCATTATTATTCAGTAAAAATTTCATCCATCACAACCACAAGAACTTGAGCCTTATTCTCAATATTGGGGTTAAATACAGATTCTTTATCGCCACTAGTGAGATCTTGCTACATGTACTAGAAGATCCGAAACAACTAGACCATCGAAAGACACAAACAGCCATGTTAGTTTTTGTTTGCTTCTCTCTCTTCTAACCTATTCTTTTAAGAACGCATCACTCTTACAATACAGAGCATTTATAAATCTAAACATGTCCTAACCATTTAAGTTATCATTCCCTTAATTTGTCTCGAACTATTGCAACCTCCCGTTCATATAGATAATTTTTGTCCTTTAAGACCTCGTTCAGTATCATAAAACATAACAGTTCAAATAAATGTTCTACGAAACTAGCCATTTAGCTTCATAGGATCATGCCACACACAATTTTGAAGCACTTCTCCATTTCATCCAAAGCAGTCTTATTCTATACATTACATCAGCTTCATTTCCTCCTTCCTTTCCCATGATCAAACCTAAATACCTAAAACAAGCACTTCCAAATCAATCTTCTATAGTAACTTCATTATTATCCTTATTACTCATATTACTACACTGCCTGTATTCTAGGTTTGTTCCAATTTCAATCTACAGCATATCATCATGCAGGAAGAAAGGAATTAGCTCCTAGATCAACTATCTTACATAGAGAGTTAATAAGGTACCAAACTAGCGAATTCCCCAACTTCTGTCAGTCAAATTAATGAGACATCAAACCCAAATCGGTAACTTCGAATGTCCTTCCCTCATTTGTTCAATGAAAGATTCCATGAGGACCGGAAGTAACGGGCTCGAGTAAATAAGCATGGAAGGAGTATTTGGAAATAAAGGGAGATGATACACTCTGAACAACAATGTTTCAAAGTTTAAGTTCTCAAATCACCATTCACAAGTCATCTGAAGATTTACTAATTGTCCTACATTGACTGTATCCAATCTATATGACCATACAGACATTGTGCCCCACCCAAAGATTACTCTCCCCATTACATAGACATAAGGGGCATAGAAAGAAGTAATATCCATAAACAAAATCTTACCATTTTTCTGCCTCTTTGCCTCCTGGTTATCAAAAAAATCAGGAGGAAGAGAAGATGACAGTCGATATTCAGGCAATGCAGTTGAAGGTTCAGATTTCTTATGAAACTCTTGATAATCTTCAGATTGCGGCTTAGGCAGATCTTTAGGAGGTAAGGGCTTAGTATTATTAGCTCGATTTAGTGCAGCAGCATTAGCTTTGAGGTTGTTGATGGCCTGAACAAAACATAAGCATTGCAACAAGAAAAATTCAACTGATTAGAAAATATATGGATGCACACATATAAATCAAAACATCTGTTAGAAAATGATATCAATTCACCTTCAAGTTTGTCACAACACATTTTATTTATCTATTTACTGGGCAAGATCACAGTTAAACAAGAATTTAAGTGCAACCAAGACAATAGCTTCCAAAAATTGATCACATTATGGGATGAAATATAACTTCCTTTTTTTTTTTTTTTTTAAGCCCTAATTCTTAGTTTCTAGCTCCTAAATTCTAAATCTAACTTAAAAATTCTTCATAAAGAGATAAGAGGAGCCATGATTTAGGTAAAACAGAAACTTCAAGTTCTAAATTTCTAATCCTATCTGTAGACTGGGTATTTTTACATAGGTTGGTAGAATGAAGAGCCATGATTATATTTTCAAGATAAGTTAAGAGTTGACCACCAAGGTTTCGTCAATTTATGGATATTCGATAGGAAGGGAAGAATAGACAATGGAAAGTTGTCAATTTCTACATTTGGATAGGTTTGAGGGAAAGGAAGTGAATGCTTCAAAGTTGTACACCATTTTATATGTGTGAGATACCACTCCCCCCATTTCTTCAAGTTACCTCATAATTGAATTATATCCTTCCCCTCACCACCAATAAGGGATGGAAAAATTCCCCGATCCTGCCCCCAATTTCCCCAAACCAACCCCAAATCTATTTATTTATTATATTATATATTTTTATATTTTCAATCTAAATCGTGTTTAAAAATAAAAAATATTAAACGGGGAAGAAATTGTGGTTCTTTAATCCCCACTCCTACCCTACCTCCCGAAATCTCCCAAAGGGGTGCCAATGGTGATGGCAACCCCGATCGCAACCCACCCATTGCCATCCCCACCACCAGGTCAACAGACACTAATAGAATATAATTTGTTCATCAGAAGAGCAACATTGACATACAAACATCTTCTGAAACTGTTATAGGATCTGCGAAGTTCAATATTTATGTTTAAAAAAATAATAATAATAATAAATAAATAAAAGAAGACTAGTAGAAGGTTCACGTTAACCAGCAATTAATGTATATAAATATCATTGCCAAACAACATTAAAATATCAAGAAAGCACCACAGGATTTCCATGTTTATCATGCTATCTACTTCATGTAGATCTTTATACTACAAACCTATAATTCCATTAGAACAGTAAAGTTTGGATTGCCATGTTAATTCAGCTGTGATTTCATCTCTAATACAACTTGACACCAGAGAAATGATTCAAACATTTATGCCTGCAATAATTGAAGTTTTACCTCGTGATGTTTTCGAGAAGCTTGGTGTGCAGGCCAAAGAGATTCAGATTTGATGACAACATCACAAACTCTACAGACCAGTTGGTCATGCTCATTGTACCTACATTTACAAATAGGATTTGACAGAACACATGATTAGAAATTTCATTTCAATGATTTCCTAGTGCTTCCACAGATAAATTCACTATAAAGATATCAAAATTTCAATACCAAGATATCTAAATTTCCATGAGCAAAGTAATCCTCATTGGAACTAAGTGCACATGGAAAGTACAAATCATGACTCAAGTGTCTCAAATTCCCCCATTTCTCATTAGAATACATTTAAATTTGACTATGCAAAACATGTTATCTAAAGTTCAAACTGGTTGCCTATCTTATAAACCAAAAGGGAACGCATATATGTATATACATAGGACATAGATACACACGTTGTGCATCATATACTCAGGAATTAGTACAACAGTACAAGTAAATATTTTCTTTGACTTCACAAATAACTAAATTTTTCTGCCATAAAGAATAGTCCGGTAACTAAAATTACTTAATTGATCACAATTTGTATTATGAGTGAATAAAAGATGCAATACCTCACAAGAGGAGAATCAATGCGTTGTTTTTCCAGCTTCTGAGCATTCAATTTTGAACGAAACAACGATTTTTTCTTCGCCTGGGCATCCATTTTTTTATTATTGTTTTCTTTAGCACCTGCAAAAATAAAATATTCACAAACTAACCACAGCTTTACCTGTCAATACTTTCTTATAGGAAGAATTTCTAATTCGTAAAAAAATTTCTTTTGTTTCAAAAATAGAACCCAAGAATTTCCATTCAAAAAGGACTTCGATTTAAATTTTGCTTCCAAAATAACAGAACGAAGACAAAATTACTGACCGCTACGAAATTAGAAGGCCTTTTCACGGGACGGTGTATGCATCTGTCTGTATGCGTGTTTTGGGTGCCTCTTGATTGAGGGAACTACTGAAGAAGGACGCGGTGGCAGGCGGGGATGGGTGGGCTCGTTAGAATCGAAGTGATAGACACGAGAAAGAAGCCATTTTAGATAAAAATGATTTTTGAGCGAAAAGTTTTAGTGTGGATTATTTTAGATAAAATCACCTCCTAATTTTTAGAATTTTAAAAAAACACTATTCTCATCCACGACAGATCCTTATTTAAATCATTCATTAAATACTATATACTCATGCCATCATAATTTTTCTCAATCTTTTTCATATATCTATAAATACAATTTTTATATATCTATACATCCATACCATTTTCTATATATATAGTGGACGAAAATACAACCCATAAAGGATGGTTTCCCGCAAAAATAACATTTTGTATTTATTTAAAGTGTCATTTCGTCTCGTTTGTGATTGCGTGGGTACAGCTTCCCACGGATTTGTTTCTATTTCTCTTAATAACGAAATTGCATGTATAGTTTTAACATTGTCTTTTTATTCACTGTACACTATTATCTATTCATTTTTCTAGTTCGCCAGGTAAAAATGAATAGAAGAATGTCAAAATAGTAGGATGGTTGTGAAGGGAATTGATAAATAATAACACAGGCTTAGAACGGAATGTCAAAATAGTAGCATGGTTGTGCAGGAAATTGATAAATAATAACACAGGCTTAGAAGGGAAATTACACAGTAAACAAAAAATGTGCAAATACTTCTGTTTCCATGTCATCACATATTTTTAACCATAGACCAGGTGTACCAAAAGGATTAAGAATGATAGGACAAAAAATGGGAACAAACAATTCACGAAATTGCATGTATAGTTTTAACATTGTCTTTTTATTTACTGTACACTATTATCTATTCATTTTTCTAGTTCGCCAGGTAAAAATGAATAGAAGAATGTCAAAATAGTAGGATGGTTGTGAAGGGAATTGATAAATAATAACACAGGCTTAGAAGGGAATGTCAAAATAGTAGGATGGTTGTGCAGGAAATTGATAAATAATAACACAGGCTTAGAAGGGAAATTACACAGTAAACAAAAAATGTGCAAATACTTCTGTTACCATGTCATCACATATTTTTAACCATAGACCAGGTGTACCAAAAGGATTAAGAATGATAGGACAAAAAATGGGAACAAACAATTTTTATAATGGCTTCGTTCAAGAAAACCGAATTAATTGGAAAAAAGTGTCTCAAAATATATATCTTGTATAAATATATGAGGAAATTGCCTGAAATGTCCATTTTTACATGGGCATTTGCACAAGTGTCCAAAATTTTCGCAATGTCTATTTTCTAATTATCTGGACGACAATACACGTGGCTACAATTTTTGACTCCAAAGCATTATTCAAATGTTGTCCCATCATGAAGAATTGTGTTGCCAATAAAATTGAAGCATATAACATATGCAACTTGTTTCAAATAGTACAAAAGTCAATCATATTAAATACGTCTGTCGGGTCATTTGAAATGAAAAATGGGTTAGATCCATTTATGAATCAAACCCGTACGAAAACATAAAACTCTATTCCTATTCTTCATTCAATTTCATTCAAAATGTGAAATCCTCCCTCTAAGCTTAGAAATCTAGAAATACAAGGCTAAAATTTATTGATTTAATTGGAAGTGAAGAGCTGTCGCACCTTTAACCTTTCAGTTCATCCCCTAACCGCTCTCCTAATTGTAAGTCGACAAAGATTCTTCCGTCTTCCTTAGTTATCTTCAACAAGGTAACTTTACATAAATACATCTTTTTACTTTTTTTTCTTTTTTTTTTTTGTTTACTGTTGTAATTTTAATATGTATTTCATATGATTTGATTTTACAATGTTATATTTAATTTTTGATAGTTGCAGATTTTATTTAGAGTTTGGTAGGCTTCTCGTTATAATGTTTTATATGTGTATATGTTAATTAATTAGCTCAAAATTTGGTGTATAAACTTAATTTCTTATGCGTGTATGTAACTCAATAAATTCCTCGTGTTCATGTATGCATCTCTCCTCCAGTGCTTCGATTTTCTATGTATATGTATATATAATAAAGGCAGCCAACAATTCTTGGCATGTATGTTGACTCTGTGTTTCTTCCCGAAGAGCTATCGACAGCAATAACCTTCGTTTTCTTCTTATTTTGCTCTGTTTCTGTGTGTATATTTATATAAAATAACAGCAGCCGGCCAATGTTTTGCTATCAAGGGGACTCTCTTATATATACGTGTAATCCTTATTTTCCAGCCTCCAATGAATGTGTAAAAAGGTGAAATATTGGTTGCCTCTCATTTTCCGTAGGCGTGTATGTGTAATATATTCTTGACTGCCTCCAAATATGTGTGTAAAGTATATTATATGGGCTGTCTGTACGTGTTTATCAATCACTTTAACGTAGCAGAAATTGTTGACTACAATTCAAAGCCATTAATCTCGCCTCATATAGACATGCATAGATTATTTAACGAACGAATTAATTTCTCTTCTCACAAAATTCCTTTTTAGTTGGGGTTTAAATCATCACATCAAATGACAAGTGAGTAACATTGTTTTGTACAAGAGCAGATTCATAGTTTTATGATGCAACTGCACTATTAATGTGTAGATTACTTTGTGCAAGGTGAATAGTTGATTTCAAATACATGAGAATTGTCATCTTATCCTTATTTTCAAGTAAAAGCTAAATGCATAGAAAATGAATGAATTGAGAACATTACTATTTACTTTCTTGTGTTACACACATACATATGAATACAGCACACATCTACAAACACTTTCCATACTATTTTAAAAAAATTAAATTTGAAATTGAACTTTGCAATCACGCATTAAATGCTAATGTATTCATAGATCTTAGTCATCATTTCGAAGGTAGTTCTAATTTCAATGTATTGTATTAAGTTGAATTTGTACAATGTGCTTTATGAGTACCTTGCACACTGGGCTTTATGGGTACCTATTCGATTAGATAGCAAGCATTTTGAATGGTTGTTTGGTTTTTATTTTTTTTCCTGTTGTCGTTCCTTAGTTTTTTTTTTTTGTTCGTACATTTTCCTAATACTTTTTTATGTGTTTTTGTTATATGTAAATGACTTCTTCACACCATTCAAAGTATCGGAGGAATAGCGAGTCCCAACGCAGGTTTCATAGGTCAGCAATATGACATACATAATAGTTGTCGTCGACAACCTCGATGCACAACAAAAGCGTATCTTCGAGAAAAGTTGCATAGGACATGTTGCCAAGTTGTCGGAGTTGAAATTGTATGAACAATTAATTCACAAAATGGTAAATAGATCGGTGTTTTCTAGCAAAAGTTTCGAGGTTTGGTTTAAGGTAAACCAAAGGTTTGCACGATTCAAACTGCCCGAGTTTGTATTAATCACCGGGTTGAAGTGTGGTGAAGTACCGAAAGGTGATAATTCGGATAACATCCTAGGAAAAACCCGGCTATGAAATAAATTGTTTACCCGAAGAGACCGGGTAACGTGTACTGACCTGGAGAACGTTTTTCTGAATGCACCCATCATAATGATCGTTACAAACTTGGGCTGGCACTGATTATTGAAGGGGTCTTCAATTGCAGAGATCGAAATATGGGGATACATCCTGAAACTCTCTCCATTATAGATGACTTGGATTTCTTCAATGCCTATCCATGGGGGACAGTGTGCTTCAAACTTCTTGTCAAATCACTTCTTCATGGATGGGGAAGAAAGGCAGACTTAGCAAAGGTCCACGACTGTGATCGAATGTCTTACACATTGTACGATGTCCATCTTGCTGCTCAGGTACACATGTTCCATATTTTCATTTCATTTTTTCCCATCCTACGTTATGTCCCTCTGTATATAGTAACTTTCGTTCTGTTCGTCATTAAGTTGTGGGTGTACGAGGCTCTCCCAGATCTGGGAGCTCAATTTGCGATAAAGACGGATGACGATGTTCCGAGGATGTTGTGATGGATTGTCATAAGACAACTTCAGTCCAGAACATATTCAGACTTCTTCGAAAAGACACATGTGAGCATCTTGCATATAAAATTCTTGTCACAATTTCAAAATGACTAATATTTCATTTTGACGATTTTGTCTTTCCCTTATAGGTGCACTTGTGGACGACGTTGCGCGCTACTGCTGCAGAAGAATTGTAGCCATAGATTGCTGGTTTAGTTGATTTACCAGACCAAGCTCTAGACAGCCTAGTAGTTTAGTTAATAGAAATACAAGATTACCTACCAAAAGATTATACACAATGTGAACAACAATCAACAACAAAAGTCTCGGAGAGGTAACACAGGTAGAATTCGTCTCCGAGATTTTCATCCCGCTAAAGGTGAAGATAAAGACCATGGCGACCCAATCGTCGACCGTCCACTTCTTCTACATTGTGCCATCGAGCACCCCGAGGCTCATGTCTTCGGATAAGATCAAATCTCTCTTGAATGAACAAAGAGAGGCCTTTGAGTGTAGGTTGGGTGAGTTAAGGAAGGAAAGGAATGCGAGATTTGCTAGTTTGGAAAATGATATGGGAGCCCATGTGCACGGTTTGAGGCAGCATGTGACTGATGAGGTCAATGTGATTCGACGTAGGCTTCATGAAGTGGCTACTGACATTGAGGGACACAATGCTACCTATGAGTAACGGTAGATTTCGGGACTATTGCGGTAGAGATGTGTCATACCATGATGGTTATGATCACAATTTGACGCCACATACGGAAGTGAACACACGGCATCTAAAAGGTGCAATCGAAGCAGTTGGCTGCCAAATCGACGACGTGTTCAGAATGTCGACAGTTGGGGTTGGATTCAAGAGGTCGATTGATGTTGCTCCAGATAGTGTAATAGAGGCTACAAACACTGTACCTACAGTTGCTGTCTCCATCAATGCTTCGCCAATTGATGATGTCATCCTTGCTGAACCGTTGAAGATTGCAGATCCTCCCTACGTAGACCTCGATCGTTAAGACTGAAGATGCCTAGTACAAACACGAAGACACCGTTCACATGATTCGGTCACAAGAGAGGTAAAAAAAGGTGTGTAGTATACGTACACTGCAATTCTCATATTTTTGTTCATGGTATGGACTGGCTGTCCGACATTTT